AAGCATTTCACAGGTAATTGCGGTCAAGTGTAGTGACTGTGCATTTATAAGTAAATAGCCAATTAGCACAGTTAAGGTCCCACAAACAACCATTAAATGAATGACCAATTTTATCTTGAGGACTGTCGGACAGAAACTCCTTTCTCTTTACTAAGAGTTTTGAGGGATCATTAAAATCTATCTAGAAACATCAAAGGGATCTTTTCTTTTTAAAAAAGTTTTTCCTAGTTGTTACAAAGACTAAAATAAAATCAATCTTCCAGTGATGAAGAATTGGTGTCAGCCAATTCCTAATTCCGCGCTCGACTAAAAACTGATTCTAAAACTCAAATAAAACATTTAAAATAACAGTTAATAAATAGGAAATTACTTATAGAACTGTGTTCAACCGTTCCTTTGGGCATTGCTCAGGAAACATTACATAAAGAGTTTAGCAAAAGCTTCTTTTTCTTCCCGTCATACAGTTATTAAGTCTTTTTTGCGAAGCAGCAAATTAAATATCTTTGCCCTAGACTGAGAGAAATGAATGGCACCTTGACATCTCCTGATATTTCCTGCCCTGGACTAAAACCAAAAGAGTTTTTATTTCATTCCAGAAAATGCTCGTCGAATTATAGCAACTTAACAAAAGAGCAAAAAGAAAAAGGAAAGGCATAAAATCCAACTGTTAGCTGTTCGACCGCTGAATTGTCCTGATTTGAGAATAAATTCAGAGGCAAAGCTTTTTGATGAACAGCAGGATTTTCTGCAGCTGTTTACAATTTGTAACTTGCCTGCGATGCAGGAGGCTCAGGTTTAGAACCACTCTATCCCAGGTCAAACGGTCAGCTTTCTGCACTCATTATGTGTTTTTCACGTATGACAAACGAATTTAGGTCATTTAAAAAAAATTGATGAGTATACTGTATCGGATCAACCCAAGGAAAGTTGAGGATTAACGCACAATAGGGCTATAAAGAGTCAGGTTTGTTGCTTATTTTTAGTACTAGATAATAATAATTTTAAAAATCTGCAGCGTTAAATTGTATGTTTGCGAAGCGTTGTCCAGGACACGTCAGATAAAAATGACCCTCTTCGCCATCTGTGTTAAAGATATCTTAATTCTTCATAAGTATCAGAAATCTGCATCTTCTCAGCAAGACTGAAGGACCCTGTTTTGCATGAAAAGTAACATCAGTAGTGGTTCACATTCAGAACAAAGGGTTGCCAGCATCAAAGCAATATTAGTAAGATGGATAGGATTTGTAATTGATAGCGAGATCTGATACAATCGTAGATAAGGTCTCGCCATTTCCTCCCATTCCCTCAGCAACGACCCCAGCTAGTCTTTTCCTTCGCAGACCTGGCTGATAATTGGATACTTAAAATCGAGTTTAAACTTAAAACCTAAACGCGTTGTCAAAAAGGCACGAGTTATCTAATCTCACTTTCAATGGGAATCGTATAGATGTGCTCAATGCTCAATGTTAAAACAAAAGTCATGAGAAAATGGGATCTAGTATTTTATGGAATGGATTTCAATTCAGATTTGAATGGGGGAGAATGTTGAAAGAGAAATCAAACTGTTTACTATACAAAGCAGAGAAGGGGAAGTGGTTAAGTATAGCACATGTTAAAGCTCGGGTAAAACCTGTCAGACTATACACTACTGTTGCTGCCATTTACAATGAGTAAATAGCATATTTTCCTCTATTTAACCTATCATTTGTGTGATTGCTTCACCTCAAAGTGGTAAGAAAATGAAAAATTTCAATGAAAACAAAGATTTGAAGAAATAATCTTTGTGGTCTTGCCATTTTTGCTGTCATTATTGCCAATTTACACTGCTTCAGTGCCCTCACCAACACACATTGACAGAAGCAACTGGAAGAGTAGTAATAATACTATTACTAATAATAATAATCCTTGCATTTGATATAGCACCTTGTCACGTCGTTGAGACATCTCAAGACGCTTCACAGGGTATACGTGATAAAGCACTATATCAAATGCAAGTATTATTATTCTGTAAAGTGTAGTGACTGTATATTTTGTGGGCGGAATGCAAATTGAACCTGATGGAATGAAATGATCAGCAAAAATTAATCTTGATAAAGCACAATTTAATCACTCAATCACTCGACAGTCACTAACCCTGCTTCATGTCTAAATTACTGAATAAAAGTAAAAATACTGTGCGAGGCTGACATTGCCTTTTAAGGCATAATTTGCCATCTGATCTGCTGTATCCATCTCGACAGGAATTAGCTAAATTCTGGAGGAGGCCCTTCAGTCCCTGAGCACGTTTCCTGCTTCCCCAATTCACCGCATTCCTTGCAATTTAACTCATAGTTTTTCACTGAACCTATACACTCCAGGAGGAGAAAAGGTTAGCAATCACAATGATTTCTCAGTAAACCTTTTTAAACAAGGACTGGTGCAGCTGTAGATCTGTAAAAAAAAAAAAAAATTCACCCACAAAATACACAGTCAATCCACTTTACAATATATTCTGTGAAGCGTTTTGAGACCCCTCGACACCAAGATAAGGTGCTATATCGAATGCAAGGATTATTATTATTATTGAAGAATCACTAGAACTCCTTTGGAATAGAGGCCTGAAATAAAACCTTCTATCCATTTCTTGCAATGCCAAACTTTGCAAAACTTTTTGGTACTCTGGTAGCAATAAGTGAATGAAACCTTCTCCCGATAACACACTGGTCACCAGATAAGGGTCATGGGGCCCAGTTACATGTGTAACTCACAGAACTTTATTTACATATATATATAAAAAATATCAAAAAACATGTGTAGTAAACACCAAAATGGGAATTTTAACTGATGACCAATACCACAGTATACAATAATAGTCAGTGTGTACATCCTTGGCTTTAATCAGGCTAATCTACTAGTTAACTGTAAACTTCATCATTGTAAGAGTTAAATAAATGTCAATGCTATGAAATGCTTGTATTCTGTTTTAATTCCCTAATTCTGATCTTTGAAGTTGAAATTGATTTTGATCCATCGGATAGGATGATCACCCGCTGTGTCCTGAATCACTTACGAACATCTATTTCGATCAATCTCCTCCCAAACATTTGATTCAGCAAAACAGAAGGAAATCGAATCAGCCCTTCTCTCTAATGCAGCCTCCAATGGCTCACTATTTAAACGTAATCAGAGGAGGGTTAGCATTTACTCAACGCTTAAAGTGTTAAACAGAATCAAACTAGGCGAAGTTCATTTAATCATTGTACCAGCCAAGTGGTCACCCCCAAACCAATATTAACACACAAACCAATGCTAAGTTTCTCATTTATTCCTGTGTCAACAACAGCAAGTAAAAAGTGTAAACAATACACTGTACAGAGGAGAGTTCCCTCTCTCTCCCCATTCTCACTAACTTTGCCTCCTCCCTATTGTAGATGATGGGGCTGCTGTGGACACATCTGACATTAATTCTGCTCTAGGGTGAGGTGGGCGTTCTGGCTTTCCTTCCCTCGAGGGTAGACATGTTCCTCTGAGTTGAGTCGCACCAAATGGCGGAAACTCAACACAAGTTCAGTAATCAAACGCTACTCCCAATGGCTGAGTTCCTACAGTCCCTGGCTCCAATCCTTCACCTTTTGGTCTTGAATTCACAGGCTCTCGAGCACTGATTTATTTATCTCGATAGAAAACAATATTTAACACTTAAAAAGAAGGAAGAATGCTGGGCTAGGCTGGGTCTGTGACTCTGCCTTGAGTAGGAAGCTTTAACCTGAATTCTTGGAACGGATTCTCAGTGTTCCTGATCACGCTCCCATTCTCTCATCTACTCGGAGGCAGAGAGAGTGGCTAGTGAAACCCAGGCACCTGACAAGCACAGCTCTTAATGCACTGCTGTGCGCAATTGGCTTGCCGCCTTTCGCCCACAAAATGTACAGTCACTTCACTTTACAGTATATTCTGTGAAGCGCTTTGGGACGCCTCGAAGACGTGATAAGACGCTGTATCAAATGCAAGGATCATTTTTATTACAAATGCATTAAGCAGCCAAAGCTCTTTTGTCGTTCATTTGAACAATTCAGCAGAGAAGTCAGAACATATCCCAAATCTGGCCAAGATCTTTAGCTGCTATTCTGCACTGGACCTTCTAACTCCCATATCGACTTTGCTGTTAAGGATCGTATTGAGTGGGCTAATTAACAGGATAATAGAATCTAGTGCAACACTGTAGATGAGTAAGAAGTGGGGCATTGAGATTGCTCGCAGTAAAAAACAAGCGAGCAAGTACGGATTAAGCAAATCTGTTTATTTTCAACCAAATAAAAACGAAGTCTGGAACTTGGCTGGAAGTCAACATGTGTGTTACAGACAGCTGGAAACATCTGGATTTAGTCTCCTTTTTTCCATCCAAAGACAACTGCCCTGATGTATTACATTCTGTCTTAATAGAAAACTTTGCCTTTTACCCTGGAGCGGGAGGATCCAATTTCAGTAAAGAAATTACTTTTCCAAACCTGCTAGACATTGTTAGTACCGTTAGCCTATTCCCAGCACAAATAAATGTCTAGCTAGAGGAGTTTAAATGGACAATATCAATCTCGGCATCGGCTTTGTACCCTTCGTCTCCCTCTGGAGAAGCAGCTTTCACATTCCGCAAACAATGTGGATAACAGATGTGAGGCATTCGAAAGAGAGTACTTAAGCTGTCGACAAACTACACACCAGCAAAAACCCGTCTCTAAAATCCAGCGGAACCTAAAAACTACTGGCTAAGTTTGCTGAAGGGACTGGATTTGTTATTCGCATGTGCATGCATACTTGCATTACTTTTCAAAAGCACTGAAAAAAAATCTTAGACTGGTTCAACATGTGAAATAAAACCAAAATGTTTAACTTAACACCATCCGTATGTGTCATGTGAGTGGGTGAGTGGGTGAGTGAGTGAGTGAGTGAATGAGTGAGTGAGATTCTCTGACTTCTTGCTTGTTGGGTTAGCGTAAGAAGGCTAACGTTAGCGACAATCATACCTGGGAGGTGTGCAGCTCCAGGGAAACTCACTCCTCTGTGTCACTCCCACCTGCTGCAAGTCACCAGAGGCACCTTTTTCCTTCTTCCTGAAAATAAATACAAGTCAACTGAGCACCAGAGCTACAAGTGTGGAGTTCTCTAAATGATGCCGGGCCTTTTGAATACTTGTCTGTGCCGCTTCCTTTGGAAAAGCCTTTTCTTTTACCTTATATGAACTGAAAATGAGGCAAAATGACTGCATGCCACAACCGAAAGGCGTCCCAATGAATCCCATTGGTTGGAGTCAGTCGAATGAACCTTGGTTTGACCTACAGCGCTCCAGCTCAGAACTCTCTTTTACCCACTAAGGAAAGCGCATTTGACAATTTTCATATTTCTTCTAAATTTGGAGTTTTTTTTCAAGGCGATGCTGTAGGCTTGGCTGGAGCCTGACTCCCTCTGGTTTCCATGTGGAAATCATTAAGATTGAGAGGCTGTGTGACTAGGTGCCAGCTCACTCTCTCTCTTTCTCTCTCTCTCTCTGCCTGGGAATGTGAGCAAAGTGCCTCCCAGAATGTTTATAATAACCAACTTCCTCTCACTCCCCATGGACATGCTCTGTTCTCTCCAACATTGCTCTCCAACAGAAAGGCCGAGCAAAATAAGTAAGACAGCAGCTTACACGCCTTCCCTCCCTCCCTCCCTTCCTCCCTCACATTCACTCACTTTCTATCTCCATCCCTCACTCCCTCCCTCACTCATACTCACTCACTCTCTCCATCCATCCCTCCCTCACTCCCTCCCTCATTCTCTCCATCCCTCACTTCCTCACTCACTCTCCCTCCCCCACTCTCATCCACTTCATCACTCACTCTCACTACCTCACTCCTGCACTCCCTCACTCCCTCCCTCTCTCCCTCACTCGCTCTCTGTCCCCCACTCTCACTCACTTGTTCGCTCGCTCACTTGCTCCCTCCTCCCTCTCTCACTCACTCACTCATTCACTCACTCACTCATGGCTTGCATTTCGTCCTTATATCTTTTAGGGGTCCCTGCACATTGAAATTTTTGTGCAGTTTTTTTTGCTTAAAATACCTTGTGAGTCTGTCTGTCGTTGTCTGTGTGTCTGTCTGTGTGTCGAATTTCCTGTATGGAAACACAAGGAAACTGATTTAACCTTGAGCTTTCACAGAAAATAAAACCCGACAATTATGAACAATGAAAATTAAAAAAGTGAAGGAAAAAAAAAGTTTCCATTCTCGAAATTCAGGCCATGGCTGTGCAAATGCAAATGTCAGTTAAATCTGGACTGATGCTCTCAGATCCAGAGGCTAATGTACACTAAACAGAGAGAAAATAAAACCCTGCTGATGAGATAAGCATTGAAACAACACTTTAAATGGCAATGTTATTGTTGTAATTTGTCTGCCTTGTGCCTGTGAAAATGTCTGAGAAATGAGTAATTGTGGCTTGCGTTGTTAGGCTGCAGCTTTTGTACTTAAGACTGTCGCCTTAGTTACGCTCTAACTTTGTTCTGTATTTTGGTTCTGGCAAATCTGTCTCTAGTTCAGTTTCTCCACCTTCCTCACTTACCTGCCACTGACTCAGGGATGAGGAATTTTCCAACATTTCTGCAATTGAAGACTCAGAGTACGAGAATCCCATCGTGTGCACATCCAAGTCAACCCCCAAACGTTCATCCAGAGACATAAATTCAATTTGTCTTGAAACTATTGACTCAAACTATCAAACTAAGTTAAAACAGGCTTTGTACAGATAGTAACTGTTTCCTACATAGATTCAGTAACCGTTTTTTAACTGCAGTGGGTATCAGAGTCTGTCTTAGTATCTATTTTCTAAACAAAGGGTTATTTCTACCCATCTTAACCCCATTTGTATAAAAAGTGAGTAACTAAGGTTTTTGAAGCTATATTGATTACTTTCAAAATAATAATAATCCTTAATATTTAACAAGGAATTGGACAGAGATGGTGAAAGGTGAAGATAAAGAGTTTTGGGAAAAGAGCATTGGAATATAATTGATAGATCCAAAGTGTGATGGCCACAATATCCTCCTTCTACACTGACATTGCTACAACTCTGATTTATGGAAGAATAAATTGGGAACAGTAAACAGTCGATTGGAGTAAAATATGATCTTATTCATATATGATTTTTTACCACGATCTGTGTGCTAAAACGTTCTAAACTTTGTTGTGTTCGCTTTGTTTGGGGGATCAGGACACATTTGATCCAGTAACATTCTCCAACCTCAACTCTTCAGTAATTCTCTGCTGGGCTGGGTGTTGAGACAGACTTTAAATGTGGAGAAGGGAGAAAGAGGGATATCTGGTGTGATGGCCTCTGGTAATGACCCTATGAGAGACATCGCACTCACCTTCCATTACCCAGGAGTGTGAGAAGTGGCGAATAAGCCAAAGAGGCGAAAATGAGATGTGTAAATTGCGATTTACACAACCTGACATTCATTTTATGTGAAACAATATCAGATGCGGGACTGTGACAGTCACAGAAATGTTTTTTTTTAACTTGTTTACTGATTCAACAACTTCTAAATGAATTAAAACTTCCTTTCCCAGCCCATGACAGAGTGCAAGCCATTCTCGCAGTGCAGGACTGAACAGTCTATTTCCTTATCTGGTTAATTACTGAACAATCTGGTTTAACCTCACACGGTTCTGTGTCTTCAGACACTTCCATCGGTCACCATGCAGTGACTACCTGCAATTGATTTGTTTGCAATGTTATTTGGTGAGTATAATGCTGCAATGGGATATTTCCTGAAACCTATGAGGAGCATCTTTCTATTGATGGCTTGTTCATCAAGAAATTCATCACAACACTACTCTCCAATTTCATATTCCCATCAACCCCAATGTTACAGGTTAATAACATCAGGATGTCCTCCTGACATGAAAGGCGCTAAGCAAATGTAATTTTTTGTTGTTAATTCACCGTCTTTTCATCTCTGTAACCTGGACATGAGCCCAACTAGGAATAATGCAATATAAATTCCTTTTGCTCACTCATAGGAACATGGGAACATAGGAATTAGGAGCAGGAGTAGGCCATTCGTCCCCTCAAGCCTGCCCCGCCATTCAATAAGATCATGGCTGATCTTCTAACCTAACTCCTTCTGTCCGCCTTATCCCCATATCCCTTAATCCCTCTATGCTTTAGAAATCTATCAATCTCAGTCTTGAATATGTTCAAGGACTGAGCAACTACAGCCTTCTGGGGTAGAGAATTCCATAAATTCACTACCCTCTGAGTAAAGAAATGTTTCCTCAACTCTGTTCGAAAAGGCTGACCCTTAATCTTGAGACTGTGACCCCTAGCTTTAGATTCTCTAACCAGGGGAAACAGTCTCACGGCATCTACCTTGTCAAGACCCTTAAGAATCACCTCTAATTCTTCTATATTCTAGACAATATAGGCCTAGTTTACACACATAGGTCAACTCCCTAATCCCAGGAGCTAACCTAGTGAATCTACGCTGCACCCCCTCTAAGGCGAGTATGTCCTTTCTTAAATAAGGAGACCAAAACTGCACACAATACTCTAGGTGCGGTCTCACCAAGGCCTTATACAGTTGCAGCAAGACTTCCCTACTCTTGTATTCTAACCCTTTTGCAATAAACGCCAACATGCCATTAGCCTTCCTAGTTACTTGCTGTACCTGCATACTAAGTTTTTGTGACTGGTGTGCAAGGACACCCAAATCCCTCTGAACACTAACACTATCTAGTCTCTCCCCCTGTAGAAAATAATCTGCTTTTATGTTTTTACTACCTAGGTGAATAACTTCATACTTACCCACATTATATTCCATCTGCCACCTTCTTGCCCACCTATCTAGCCTATCCATATCCCGTTGCAATCTTTTTGTGTCATCCTCAAAGCTTACTCTCCCACTATCGCTTAGCATCATCCTCGAATTTAGATATTTTAAGTTCTATGTCCTCGTCTAGATCATTGATATGGATTGTAAATAGTTGAGACCCAAGCACTGATCCTTGTGGCACTCCACTAGTCACATCTTGCCAATCTGAGAAGGACCCGTTTATCCCTACTCTCGGTTTTCTTCCCGTTAGCCACTCTTCAATTCGTGCTAATATGTTGCCTTTAATTCCATGGGCCCTAATCTTGTGTAGCAGCCTTTTATGTGGCACCTTGTCGAATGCCTTCTGAAAATCTAAATACACTACATCTACTTGGTTCTCCCCATCTAACCTGCTACTTACATCCTTAAAGAACTCTAAAAGATTTGTTAAGCATGATTTCCCTTTTGTAAAGCCATGTTGACTCTGCCTAATCATGTTATGGCCTTCTAAGTACCCCACTACGACGTCCCTAATTAAGGATTCTAGAATTTTCCCTATGATGTCAGACTGACTGGTCTATAGTTCCCCATCTTCTCTCTCCCACCCTTCTTAAATAGTGGTGTTACGTTTGCGATCTTCCAATCGATGGGAACCGTTCCAGAATCCAGAACATTTTTGGAGGATCAAAAATAAGGCATCCACTATCTCAGCCGCCACCTCTTTTAAAACCTTAGGATGCAGACCATCAGGTCCAGGGAATTTGTCATTTTTCAACCCCAACAGTTTCCCTAGTGCTAATTCTTTCCTGATGTTAATTTCCCTAAGTTGCTCACTAACATTAGCTTCTTGGTTCCCCTCTATTTTTGATAAGTTTTCAGTATCTTCTAACGTGAAAACAGAAGCAAAGTATTTGTTTAATGACGCTGCCCTATCTTTATCCCCCATAATAATTCCTCCTGTCTCTGCCTGTGATGGACCCACATTCACTTTTGATAGTCTCTTCCTCTTTATGTATTTGTCAAGACTCTTGCAGTCTGTCTTTATGTTCCTAGCTAGTATGCCCTTATCATCCATTTTCTCCCTCCTAATCAGTTTCTTAGTTTTTCTTTGTTGGTCTCTGAAGCCCTTTGAAGCTCTTTTTGGCAGTATTATAGGTCTCTTCTTTTAATTTTATAATTTACACTCACAGGTGTAGAGGGCACATGAGCAGGTCCCGACCACAGAACAAAGCTGTCCAGTGCTGTGTGAACCCAGGTAGAGGAATATAGTAAAAGCAGAGTGTGAGAGGCAAGGGAATTCAGAGAAACGGTGACCTACAGGGGTGGATGGTTGGTCCTGATGTTTTGGGACCTTATAAGCCACCAGGAAATAACAACAACAAATTATATTTATATTATAAAGCGCCTTTCATGTCGGGAGGACTTCCCAAAGGCACTGGACAGCCAGGAATTTGGACCCAAGTCAAGAAGAAACAATATTGGGGTTCATATCTTTAGCCATGACATCAATCATGTGAATATTGCTCTTTATTGTTGAATCGGTTTCCAGGGTGTGGTTCAAAGTCACAAATTGTAACAGACTCCCATTGAAGTGACATGTCTGTGATTTGTAGTGTATGTGTTTATACTTTCATCAGTTCTGTGCAGAAAATGAGTTAGAAAGTAATAAATAATAATAATCCTTGCATTTGATATAGCGCCTTATCAAGTCTTCGAGACGTATTACAACGCTTCACAGGATATACTGTAAAGCGAATTGATTATATTTTGTGGGCAAAGCGAGGCCGCCAATGGTGCATAGCAGAGTCCCACAAACAGTCGTGGATTGCTCTTTTGTGTATTCTCTTAAATGCAGCTTTAATTAGGAAACCATTTTTTTCTGCAGTTTTTGACAAAACTTTCTCTTCCAAAAGGAGGACTGAAGTAAAGATGGTTTGACAATCCTGCGGTACCTGATGTTTTAAGAGAAAGAGGTCTTGCAGGCTGAGACCAGGTAGAATTTAAGGCCTTTCATGCCTTTGAAATACTGCTCAGCAAGAGCATAGAAAACATCTGTGGCAAAGCTGTTTGTGGTTTCTTTCGACAGATCAGTACAAGGAATTTTCCTGTTGCAAGCCACGGAGATGTTTGGCAATGGGAATAACATCAAGAGGCAACCGGGAATTAACTTTGTAACCGCTAGAAATTGTAAACTGTTATTAGTGTTTACAGAGAGAAGCACACCAACGAATGCTAACCAGAGGTTGAAAGACAACATATTATTTTGAAATTGAACTGGAATCACTTCTCTTTGACTGCAGTATCAACGGGTGTTTAGTGGTAATGTACTGTCTGCAAAATATGTTGGAAATTCCCATAGTGCGATTAGATTTGTCCATCTCTCAAATATTATCATGTCCCCAACTTCACCAAACCTCTTCCACGACTGTTTATGGGACACTGCTGTGCGCAATTGGTTGCTGGGTTTCACCCACAAAATATACTTGGTGCCCACTTTAAAGTATATTTTGTGAAGCGCTTTGAGTTGTCTCACCGTCGTGATACGACGTTGTATCAAAAGCAAAGATTATTATTATTATCATTAAAGCAAGAGAATTCGCTGGGATATTGGAGGCTGAACAATGGCAATAGAACACTCCGGGTCAGTGGTTTCAGGAGAGAGCAAAAAGCTTGGATTCTGTAAGTATGTTGGAGAAACTGGACACTTCCATTTATTATCGTGTGGGAAGTGAGTTATCAGTTGATATGAAACAGGCTTGCATTTGTCGATCAACAATGAAAAGTATCGTACTTGTTGAGTCATCTCGCACTGTCACCCTCGAAGCCTTTCAGTTAGAAGTTGACACCTTCCTATGGAATATCTCCTGAATGCAAACACAGTAGATTAGACTAAAATGTGGTCCGTTTCTTCCCATCCCGTTTCCAATCACTAAATTTAGCACAGCGAGGAAAAAAAACTAAAACACTATATTTGGAATCAAACATGCCCAGAGCTGGGGCCGTGATCTTTGGTGAAATAAATTGAGCGTCAAGTTTCACTGTGTATCCATCTCCTTGTAACCAGGTCAAACAAACCTTTCAAAACAAACATGCCAAAATTCCGAGGGAGTTTCGTTAAAAACTCAAAACCAAAAATAGAAATGTCTACTGGTCAGACCTAACTTTCCATATCGTGTTTATGTAAATCGACGATTACTATATTTATATTCTAACGGATTAGGTGTGGTATCTGCCTGGCTTCCCGAATCCTGACACAAGCACTCGGGACAACATGCCCTTCTGCTTTGATTTGCTGCCATCTGGTGGAGGTAGTTTGAGACCGTGTTCTGCGCGGTCCCTATTCTGGGCCCCGGTACGATTGATAAATAAGGTAAAATTGTAGCTTGCGTGAATTAGGAACCTGCGTTATCGTCTGTCCTGAACAGTATCTTTACATTAAGTGTCTTTTCCTGTCCCAATGCATTGTTCCCTGGAATACAATTCCAACATTAGCTGCGGACTGTAAATTCAGTCACACTGCTGTTTGAATACTCAAAGCCAATTGGAATGTTCGCTTAAAAAAAAACAAGCGTCAAGGATTTAGCTGAGTTGAGGATATTACCTTCTGGATATTGGCGTCACCCACAAACAAACAAGCCAAGAGCATTGATAAATCAAGGCAGGTGAGTTTGCTGGATTACCAGAGGCTGAACAACACTAATAGAACATTCTGGGTCAGTGGCTTCTGGAGAGGGTAAAAACCTTGGATTCCGGACGTGTGTCGTTGAAACTACAAGCTTCCATTTATTATTTTGTGGGAAGTGAGTTATCAGGTGATATTAAACAGGTTTGCATTTGTCGCTCAACAGTGAAAAGTATTGCACTTCGCGAGTCATCTCACAGTCACCCTCCAAGCCTTCCAGTTAGAGGCTCTGTGGGTGACGCTGTGAGATGTCATTCATCATACAACGAACGGCAAGTTAAGTGCGGTGTGTAATACGGAGATAAAACATTTGGGTAAAGGGAGCTTAACCAAACCATAGCGAACTATTACTATGTTAACATGACTAAACAGAAAGGGCGTGCATGGAAAAATGATCACTGATTTGTAATCGAAAGTAGGATTGATTTCTTCTGTAGCATAAGGAATGGTGGGGAGTAAGCATGCTGATGGCCTCTGTGCTCTGGGAACCATAGGTTCCCCTGGCAGATTGACAGAAAATCGGAGTTATGTTTGGAGGAGTGAGACCTGAGAAGGCAGATAGGTAGAGGGATCAACGTTAAATTTGAACCAGCATGCGTGTCACCAGTTATGAAATTAATCAAAACGCTGACAGTAATTACGGAGCAGGTAAGATCTAAAATTGTTTTTAAAAACAAAGACTTTAATCATCTAAATAGATATAAATAATCCTCAATTTCATGGGCCACATATTCTACAGCTATTAAGAGTAAAACTGAATCAGAGTTTGAACATTTTATTGGGACAAAGAATAAATGTAAAGAAATGTGTTTTTTTCAGAAAATGCTTAAGTTTTTTTTTAGTTATATATCACAGTACAATTTCCCTGCTGCTTTGTTCCTTGGGAGCAAAATGCAAGTTCCATGCGTAATAGAATGTGATTTCCTACTGGTTTGTTGGAAGCTTCCTCTCATTCTGGTTCACCTGCCTGAAACAAAGCAGCCACGTAACGATCTAATTAGATTTTTATATTTATATATAAAAAAACACACACGACAAAAGTTCCTGCCTTTCCTCAACTCTTCCGCCACATTATTGGGAAGTGTCATTTTATAGGGGGGGAAAAAAAAAGGCACATTGTACCAAAGGAAAACTCTTTACTGAGCTGTGAAATTCGCCACAAAACATGGCCTTGATTTTTTGTTTTAAATATTTTGTGCCTCACAGCACTGTAACAAAATATCTCAAAATGCTTATCTTGATCACTGTATAAGTCGAGGATACGAACAGCCTCTATTTTTTTNAAATCCTATTTGTATTCCCTTTTGATAACATTTTGAATGGATTTGATTGTATATAAACATATGAAATAACGCTTCAGGTTGGGAAGCTAAAATTTTTTCTTTTAGAGCATCTCTATACAGAAATTATTTGTACACAAATATTTTATACACAATTATATAATTTGTTCCAAAAGGTATTTGGGGGCGTAGGGCAGCTACACAGTGCTGATAATTGTAATCTTGCTGTCTGTCCTTGCTCTGGCCTTCGAACAGTCCTGAGCAAGAGAAGGCATAGTCAGATGTAGTCGTCGTGAACAGGGTCACCGCTGACATCACAGTAATGGATGAAGATCGCTACAACACGTTGGAATACACCATTTCGCATCTGCCGCTGCTCGGAGATCTCTTCACCAATGGTTTCCATGCAGATGTCGGCTGACAGCTGTCCTTTCCTCCGGGGAGCATAAATTGTAGCTGGAGAAACAAATCCAGCAATGATTAGTCACACTGGACAATGCTACAAGTTATTCCCGCTGCTTCCACTGAGAACAGAAATAATGTTAAGTAAGTCAACCTCTGGTTGTACAAGACGTTGCTATTCACAGAGACACGAACAGATCAAATCCATCCACTGAGTTTCCCACACGCTGCCGGAAATGGGCTAAATTAAACCGCAGCATTTGTCTTGGGAAGCATCTGAATAGCAGCAACGCTATAATTAGAAGCCACATCAAAACGTCTCGACGGGCTTCACACAATTTGTATGAAATTGCGGTGGCTATTTATATGCAATGCAAAATTACATTCGTATGGCGACTTTCAAGTCGGGAGGATGTCCCAAGGAGCCGGACGGTCAGGGATTTGGACATACGGGCAAATATCACAGAGACCATCGGTTTAAGTTTGTTACACGTGACAACCTGTTAACCATGACAATAAGCAGGCACTGGGTGGGGTGTAACGCAGGCACCTATTTGTGCCAACATGACACAGGAGCAAATGGTCATGGGGGCATGGAATCTAAATGCATCGTTTACAAACTCCTGAACAAGTGTGAATTTTTTAAATATAATAATCGTAATGCAGAAACGTGCAAAAATCCTTACTTTTCTCATCATCTTCGAAATCGTGCCTTGCATAGCTATTGGGTTCTGCTGTGCGCAGTGAGCGAAGCCACGGGAAGTCAGTGATCAAGAAATAGGGAGCTCCGTCTACCGTTCCTGCAGGGAGAAAATCAATGGGAATTGGATCGGACCGTCCGGGAGAAGTGTCAATACAAAAGCCACAGACAGCAACTGAGAGAAAACAGCAAATGACATTTACACAGCTCCTTTCACGTCAGGAGGACGTCCCAAGGCGCTGGACAGTCAGGGATCTGCACCCGAGCTGATGGTTGGGATCAGGAGTTGGTGGGGAGTGGAGGGGTAGGAGGGTGACCGAAGGCACAGCCCAAATACGGTGAAAATACAGTAGATTGGCGACGGCTTCTTTGCTGCCACAAACAGCAACGTTCTTGATATTTTAACCGAATTTCGAAGAGCTCGTTCTAGCATCCTACTTCTGGAACCAGCTACCGATAAAGCATTGGCTGTAAACAACAACAACAATAAGAGGAGGGAAGTGAAGGTGATACAGCTGTGCCAGCGACTTTGCACTTAAAGCGAGGATCAATCCCAAGCAATTGGAAACCTCTCTTAAAGGGACAGTCAGAAAACCCGCTTTTCTTTGACGTACGTGGAACAGAAGTGAATTTGTGTAAAGCGAGCAGCACTGCGCATTCCAACGCCTCAGCTCACCTTCCAACGTGTAAATGTCTCTTCCCCATGGGTACTTGGGATACTTCTTTACATCCTCCTCTGTCCGAGTGGCTTCTGGGAAGAACTCATACTTAATCAATTCCCTAAAACATTGTTTTTTAAAAAAGTTCAAAATCAGCAACTTTCTCAATACACCTGTTTAAACAATCATTCATTTCTCCGTTTCAATTTCTCCGCCGCCCGGATACTCACCCGCACAAAACTCCGTACCCTCATCACACCAATCCAGGCCAGGCTCCATTGGCTCCCAATTACCGAACAGATCGATTTCAAGATCCTCTCACTTGCTTTCAAATCCCTTCGTGCCCTCGCATCTCCCTACCTCTCTGATCTGCTTACCCCCCCCCCACTCCACCACCCGCTGCCTCGGCTCGGCCTGCTCCGGCCTTTTTGTCCCTCGTCCCCACTCCTCCACCATCGGTGGCCGTACCTTCAGCCACTGCGCCCCCAAATTCTGGAGCTCTCTCCATCAATCCGTCCGCTTTGCCTCCTCCCCCCCCACTTTCAAATCCCACCTAAAGACTTTCCTTTTTGATCGTGCTTACAGTCACCTCCCCCCCTCCCGCTGCCTCGATATCAGACTCCGCCACTATCAAGCGCTCCGGGACGCTATCCCGGGTGAAGTCTGCTATATAAATATAAGTTGTTGTCGTTGCATCACAGGCACGGGTACAATTCCACAGTACAGCTAGAATCATAGAATCCTACAGCATAGAAGGAGGCCATTCGGCCGATCTTTGAAAGAGCTACCGACCAGTTACACTCCCCTGCTCTTACCCAATAGCCCTGCAAATTTTTCTTCTGACCTCACCATTCAACGTAGTTTTTATATGTAGTCGTAATATATATATATATTCACACAAATATATATATTACATCTATCTGAACCAATAAACACAAAATATCTGTGTGTGTCCGCCAAAACCCAACAGACGTAGAGACAGGATTTATACCTCATCGGAAAGGTCTTGCATAGGGGAGTGTCATGGGCATATTTCCTATTGTTATTGAGCTACATTTTTAAAAAAATGCTTTAATTAAGCCCCACGAGGTAAGCATGGTATTCTGCAACAAAGTAGCGAGAAGAAACCACACACCCTTCTAGAGATACATCTATACTGATATATTCTGCAACAAAATAGCGACAGAGAAAAGCTATGTCCTAAACAAGCTCATCACACTCCAACAGGAGTCCTCCCAACCAGGAATCCTCCCAAAGCGAGTCCTCCCACCGAGTATTGATAAAAGACGAAATGTCTGTCTGAGTGTCAATCTACATTCCATATCGGATCCTTTGGTTGCGAGCAGAGCTGCGGCGGGTACAGCTAGTATAATGTACGGAAACTACCAAACACAAGTGAGGTTTTACCGCCCAGCCTATAAGATTGCTCTGATAAGATAATGATTCTTTATTACATTTTTTTTAATAAATGATTTGCAATTTGATTTAACGAAAATAAAAAAAAGGCAGGTTTGTACGGAGTCAGATACTTACTGATTAATGTTGGCTATGGTGTCCATCCAGCTGCGGACACGGACCTTATTCCGCACATTTGGTGGGTTGCTAAACTCGTGGATAATACAGATGTGGTAGGGATACGGGCCACTGAAGATCTTTCTTTCCAAAGCTAAAGTGTCGATCTGCCCGGATACACATCAATTATTATTCCAATCACATTATCACACATCTTTATCAAAATTTATCACTTTATAATATACAATTAGAGAAATAGGTCTATAAGCAATACCGAGCCACAATTATTATTCTTCCTTATAATTTTAACCCATCTTTTTGGACAGAAGAGTGACTTTTTCATTGAACAAAAAGGCTAGCTGTGAGTAGGACTCCTTACAGTGTTAAGGACTATAGAGGTACAGTAATTGGGAGCCGGAAAAATATATCAGATTAACTCTTATTGGGGGTGGAGGAAGGAGGCAATAAAGAAATAAAGATCTACTCGCCCAATGTACAGTACAAAATAAATTGTCTTTGCCCCAAGACTTATTGTGTGCAAACCCACTGTCTTCAGAAACTTATTAGAAGTGTAAACTTCTGGGCAACGGAATGCATGGGATTGATGACAAGTGCTCACAGCTGGTGTCAAACCAGAAGTTGTTTGAGGGCCATACGAGTTACATTTGACTCCGTCGCTAATGTCATTCACCTGTTGCATCGGCCGCAGGTAAATGATCCTGTTCCTTTCCGGGGGCATTCGCAAAATTTGGTCGAGAAGTTGTTCAATGTTGAGCTTTCGACACTGGACATAGTCAAAGCGGTTTACAATGGGAGCATTCTCTACCTTGAGGTGCTTCAACACTCGACAGCGAGTAGCTAGGCGTGGACAAACACAAATAACAGCATTGACTCATCACACCACCATTATTACACTGGCTTTGCAGTACATATCGCCACGTATAAATCCGAATGGTTAATTTTATACCAGACTGAAGCAAAAAAAAAGACAGCTTGATACAGTTTGCACTCTGCATTATCCTCACCTTTAAAATGCCAGCACTCAGCCCTTGTGGTGAATAAAATACCATGGTTTTGTCCCTGGGATAAAAAGGATGTAACATTCCCCCCCACCCCCTCTCCCTCCCACCCACAGCCCCCCCCACACACAAGAACGTGCAACAGTACAAGGCTGACAACTGAGGATTGCACAAACTGCTGAGCTGAGACTACTTTTGATGCTTTCTTGCCGTGTAAGAATTTTAAACCACATTAACAGTAAATTCCTCTGCTAACACATTCAGATGTACAAACACACAACAATCACTTGCATTTATATAGCGCCCTTCACGCAGGGTAGCGGCCCAGAGTGTTTGACAGTGATGGAGCACACACACTTACACCCACACCACACACAACAATAGGAAGGGGGGATCCACCAGACAGGATGTAAGGACTCACCATGGATAAACATCATTTTAGGACAGTCTCGAAGCACCAAATCGGTAATCCCACAATTTGTCAGTGTAATTCCAACCAGGTTTTTCGATTTCAGGTTAAGAACCTACAGATGAGACACGTGCAGTTTTGAAGCAAAGGCTTTTTTTAAATAAAATAAAATAATCTGATTGCTTTTTTTGCAACTGTACAGAAAGCTGAGTTTGGAACTAAAGGGTCTTGCATTTCCAATCAGTCTGGATAGCTTTATTGGTAAAAAAAACAGCAGTGAAAGGATTTCCCTCAGTGACACTGGTAACTGGGTATGAACAAGGAAAGCACTGCCCTTTACCTGGATATGATCAGCCTCTATCACAGGATCACTCGTGCTTGTGGACTTGTCAGCCGTTCGTTTCCGTTTGACAGCAAGTCGTGGTTTGCGTTTAGGAATATCTGAAAACGTTTTGGAGATGAGTTAGACGGACTAAGCGATAATTAAAACGTACAAAAATGAAGCATAAATATCTGGGATAAAGTTTTACAAATCGACTAGCTGTGAGAAAATATTATTGATTCAGTATAAGAGTGTCAGATAATCAAGGCCAAAGTGCCTGCAGTACAAATCCCCATCAGACAGGTCATTTACACCTGGGAACAATAAACCTACTTGTCCTGGGAAGTTTTTTTCTCCCCCAACCTTTTCTTTAAAGATCTCACCAGGTTTTCTGCAGACTGTTCATGGCTGCCACTCGTTTAACTCGTGACCACTTTAGCCACCGAACTCGAATCATTAGCCAACAGGAATCATTACACTCCTAGACAATGCCCTTCGAGCAAACTGAACTGTCAGGTAGGCTCAACCAGACCTTGCAATAAACAGTAATTTTATGTTTCATTCAAATTGGTTTTTCTCTTGTAAAAGATGAAGATGGAATATTGGGTGGGGGGTGACGGTCCTCTCTGTTTAAGCCAGTCCCTCCCATCCTTCCCTGGTGTAAACCACTTCCATTCCCAGCCAAGGGAAAGACTTTGGTTCAAGAGCACAGTTACAGGTCATCAACATGAGCAAGTTAACCATCTGGTAAAATATACCCTCAAGCTTCTGCTACACTCTCCCCACATAGGATTCCAACTTCAGGTGAACAGGGAAGGATACTAGAGACACAGCACTTTGGCCACAGGAACATATAAAAATACATGCAGCATTACTGGAGGAAAAAGGTTATGTCAGAATATACTAAAACGCTCACAGCCCAGCTCCACTCTGCTGCCATGCTCAGATAATTAATCACTGAACTGTTAGCCATACATTTATATCGTTTGCAATGTTTAGAGAATTTCAATGAGCAAAACCTTAAGTAGAAATGTGCTATACCTACAGACTTCACTGCTGTTACCTCTTTGCTGCCCTTGTTATGTCTTAGCAACTCTCTCTCCAGAGCAGCCTGAAAGCAAACCCTATAACGTGCTACTCGGAACAGTGAATACAGCCATCTCACTCAAGCCTGAGATGAGAAGTCTACACAGAATGTCTGACTGAGCTCCATCTAACTAGCTGCTCTAAAGCAAGGCAATGGGAAGTTACTGAGAGACACCAGCGCAGATACCTTCCTCTACGGTACGCAGCATTATGAATTTTAGAATGGATTTGAATTGCACTGTTGAATTCCCTGTTATTTCACTGTGAGGTGCAGGAAACTATTCGTACAGATCATGACTGACAGACCAATTTTAATAAGGCTAATGTTTAATATGTATGCAGTCAGACATTTTGTGTAGATTTTCAGATTGAGTCATTAAACTGAACCACAAGTCATACTCTTATGCATGGATTTTACATCCACTAAATAACTCCTGTAACCTATGGTAACTTATACGCACACACACAAGATAAACGTTGCTTTGGAATACAAACAGTATCTGAATTTTCAAAACCTTTGCCGAACTTTGACACATTACTCATTTGATGAAGTCGCTCAGGAGGAATGTTCGGTTTGTGACTGAAATGCTCTGTGTGAGTCCTTCACTGCTGCTTCGGAAACTCACAACATCGCAGCGAATGTGTGAAATATTTATAGGCTGCACAACATTGAATATCCCAATAAGTTAGTAAAAAAAAAGAAGTGATAACAATCCACTTGCCACGTAAACACTAGGAAGCGAGGCATGGGAAAACCAAAATGTAATACAAAGTTCCAAAGTGCCATCTGTAAGGAAAACTGATTTCCTTTACAAAACATTTAACAAGTTTCCAAAAACTGTCAAAAACTGTAATCTATTCATACATCCTGAAGCTCACTTCATGTGCCCAGGATCAGCAACGCTGCCAACTTTTGTTATCAAAGCAAAAAAACACAAAGCAGCATTTGGCAGTGGAGTACATTCTGAGGAAGATTAGGTTTGATCTCACCACTTATTTGGATGAACAGTGAATCAGGACTGGATAAAACTTGCTTTAGAAGCTCAGACAGGAATTAAAACTAGATGTCTTCAAATCAGAAATGAAGGTTAATTTAAATCCTAAATCAACAACTACAACCACACATTATATTTGTATAGCGCCTTTCATGTTGGGAGGATGTCCCAAGGAATTATAGAAATGTAATTGTAATTTGTATAGCGCTGTACACATATATATTTCCAAGACTGTCAGGGATTTGGACCCGAGCTGGGATTGGAATAATGAGGGGTGGAGGGCTGGGAGGGAGGATAGAGGTAGGAGGGTGACTACATTTATAAATTAAACTGATTCCTCTTAACACTGCAGTACATGAGGTATTGTACAGACTCACACAGCCCTGAACACAAACTCTGGTTGACGTCCTTGCTGTTTACCTGGCTGTGCCACCAGTGGCACTGGGCTAGATTTGCTCCTGGCCCTTGTCACAGGTCTGCGTGGGTATCCCTCGCACGCCGTCCCTTTACAGCACACCGCCCGGCGATTGCTGCCCTCCGCCTCTCCCACAGCGTCGCTGCTAGTCCTCCCGTTATTTACACGGAGCTGCTCTTGTGCGCAGGAGGGCGATTTCCTTTGTGAAAACTCCGACCCTCCCGACGTGGAGTGACAGTGTCCTTTTAAAGCACTGCTCCCAGAAGACGTCCTGCTCGGGGTAGGCCTGTCCGCCTCACAGCAGCATTCCCGTGTTCTATGATGTACCTGAGATGTGCTGCACGTGCAGTTACTGTGAATGGAGCCATTCCGGGGATTATCCGCGGGGCTGCTGCAGGATTCCTCAGTCCTACGTACAGGAGTACAGGAACACACATGAACGCAGGCACCAGGCCGCGATGGACAGCAATGTCTGCTGTGTCCTCCATTCAACGTGGCTGTCCTGCTAGGCTCCGCACTCGCAGAATATCCACCGATGCCCGAGTTAGCTGCTCCTGAAGCGCTTGCCGTTCCTGAAGACAAGTCTTTGTTTCGGCTTCTCTCGGGGGCATCGCTGGCTAATTTCATATCAGCCTTGATCTGCTCGCTAGTCACTTGACAGCCTTTCTCACAGCTGCTCTCCTCCACCGCTGACGGTCTCGACGGGCAGGACGGGATAACAGGGCTCTTTTTCCGCAAAGGAGCTTTGCCTTTCCCACAAACTCCTTCAAAAACAAAACATACTCCCATAATCTTCCAACCTTCAGTATTATTCAGTATTTTATCCACAAAATATGCAGTCAATTCACTTTACAGACGTCTCAAAAACACGCTAAGACACTGTATCAAATGCAAGGATTATTATTGTCAATCAAATTGACCTTCTGAACACTGATCCCATAAGGTTAATTTAAGAACATAAGAATTTGCTAGATGAAAGACCAAGGTCCATCCAGTTCACCTTCCACCACCCCTGGCAGCCGCATGACATATCGTATCCCAAACTATATATTGTATCCCGAGATATTATTTTATTATTATAATATTAATTTAAAAACAAGTATTCCAGGTTTTGATAAGAAAATAAAAAAACAGAAACACAGAATAGCTCATTCTGCCTATCGAGTCTGTTCTGGCATTGATGCATATCCGTTAATATGCTTACTTCCAAATAGCCCAGTCAATAAACTCTTTTAGAAAGTAAATTACTGCATCAAAGCAGTAGCAACAAACCAGCTAAGCTATGTCCATCATGCAAGCTTACAAAGAAAGCCAACACACACACTGCAGAAAGATAATGTGAAGAAAACACACAATAGACACTTCCAAAAAGTCTTAGGAAAGAGATTTACTTCCTATTCACAAGGAATTTAGCACATTGTATTGAAAAAAATGCTGCTTCACGCTGAATAATAATAATCCTTGCATCTGATATAGCGCTTTATCACGTCGTTGAGACATCTCAAAACGCTTCACAGAATATACCGTAAAGTGGAGTGACTGTGTATTTTGTGGGCGAAACGCGGCAGCCGATTGGGCACAGCGACATCCCAGAAACAGTCGTGGATTGAGAGACCAAATTATTATTATTATTTGGTTTGAAGGGATTAATATTCCATCCCTTCAAAAGCACCTGTCTCTTTGGCACCTCTTACAGCTAATCATTTTGTTAAGATTTCAGTATGAAAGAGCATTCACGTTGAGTTGAAAGGCAGCGTTTAACACAGCGAGGGAGATAATCTTACCAGAGCCTTCACACAGTATTGCTGCACCTTTCTTCTTCTCCTCAGTGTCGGAATAATTATCCCCAGCAGCATTCACACTCCGACTTCCAGACGCTCCTAGATTATATTCCTCCTCATCCTCACTGTCAGAGTCTGGCACCATCTTGGGGCTGGCTTTCACAGCTGGCTGCAGCCCGCTTGGTCCTAAACACACAACAGCCACTTTTTTAATATAGGTTTCTCTGGTCTGGTAGAGAATTAATGCACGGAAATGTGGTCACAGAAAATCTAATGATATTGTAACATCAACTACAACAAATTAATTCACAAGACAATTTCTGTAATGCTAGTTACTAGAAGCCGATGACTTAAGATCTTGATCACCTACAATCTCTTGCTTCCCAAGATGAAACATTACCTGCTTGTTCTTCATCCAAGTCCATTGGGGTCACAGAATGGCCACCGTTCTGATCAGGAAATGCAGCACCTTCTGGCCTGCTTTCCTGCACAGCCTCCTGAAGTCCTGGTTCTGAAAGAGCAAGGACCCACCAACACGTTAGTAAACATTATAAACACAGCGATAACTCACACTGAGATCAACAAAACTCCAGCATTCCACAGGACAACAACAACTTGCATTTATACAGTGCCCTTCACGTGGGGTAGCATCTCAGAACGCTGACAAAAGCTTAGTTTACACGTTCATCTTCCCAATTCACTGGAATCTCGTCTGCTGTGTTCAGTTTGGAATATTATTTGTAGCAAGTTTGTGTATGTGTGTGTGGATGGGGCCGGGGGGCAATCTTATCGATTACCCAATTATCGCTTATCTAACAAAAAGACCTGATACTGTTAACATTCCAGATATTTAGTCCTATAGCTCAGTGGTTAGAGCAGTCGCCTCGCAAGCGTGAGACCTGGGGTCTATTCCCGGTAGGGTGAAATGTTGGCCAAGTTTCCTCACTCCACACTCCTCTGTTTACCTAGGAGTACGTAGGAACCTGGTTGTTAGTCGATTGGCAGATCGCTTTTCCGGGGAATAATAATCCTTTTTTAAAAAAACAATAATTATAATTTGGTCACTCAATCCCCGACTGTTTGTGGGACGCTGCTGTGTGCAATTGGCTGCCGCGTTTCGCCCACAAAATATGCAGTCAATTCACTTTACAGTATATTCTGTGAAGTGCTTTGAGACGTCTCAAAGACGTGAAAAGCGCTATATCAAATGCAAGGATTATTATTATTATTATAGGATTATTATTATTATTATCAGACTTGCCTTACCAGACTGATTATCAAAGATATTCATTACCGAGTCCTAGTGTTAAAAATCCCTGATTTTGTTTTCTTACTTTACAATGAATTATTTTACTTTATAATAATCCTTGCATTTGATACAGCACCTTATCACATCTTCGACACGTCTCAAAGCGCTTCACAGAATATACTGTAAAGTGAATTGACTGTATATTTTGTGGGCAAAACGCAGCAGCCAATTGTGTACAGCAGTGTCTCAAAGTTGTGAACTGAGTGACCAAATTATTATTTTTTTTGTTGAAGGAATTGCTATAGACAACAACAACAAAATTACATTTATAGAGCGCCTTTCACTTTGGGAGGATGTCCCAAAGCGCTGAACAGTCAGATGTCGGGTCCTGATAATGGGGGAGGGGTGGTGTAGGGGTGAGGGAAGGCAGAGAGGTGGGAGGGAGACCAAAGGCACGCGGTCAAAGAGAAAGGTCTTGAGACTCACCGTTCCCTGGGTTTGGCAGGTCAGCTGCTGCTCTCTCCGCCTGAACATCATTGTCCTCGACTTGGTCGTTGTTGTTGTTGAGATTGGCGTGGTTATTTTGGTGATTGTTGTTGTTATCGTTGTCGTTGTTGGAGTTCTGATTGCTGACCAGAGCAGACGAAACACCGATGCCTGTACCAGCACTCAGACCTACCCGAGCACAGCCCTGACGTGGTGGACAAGCAAAACACATCCAATTCAATTCCAGCAAGGTTTCCTTCACACCCTGCACACAACACAGTGCCCTCATCATGGACCCTACACTACCTGCCACCACATGTGGGTGACTACTTCATCAAATTTCTCTAATTCACTAATATTGTGAACAATTAGTGGAAGAAATAACCCCATAGGGGAGACGATCAGATACATTTTTTTACCCAGAGAGTTGTTACGGTCTGGAATGCACTGCCTGAAGAGGTGGTGGAAGCAGAATCGATAGTAGCTTCCAAAAGGGAATTGGATAGGTACTTGAAAAGGAAACAATTGCAGGGCTATGGGGAAAGAGCGGGGGAGTGCGACTGGTTGGTAGCTCTTTCAAAGAGTCGGCACAGGCACGATGGGCCGAATGGCCGCCTCCTGTGCAGTAAGATTCTATGATTCTATATACAGACTTGAACAATGAATGTTAAATCCCTGTGTGAAGTCCACCGTCTCACCTTTGGAGGTTCTCTGAACATCTGATCGAGAGAGATGAACTCCAGGCTTGGCAGCATTTCCACAAACTGACTGAATGACTCCAGTTTGATAGCGTGGCAACGAACAAGTATAAGATCCACCAAGCGACTCCAGCGAGAATGGTCTGTGGGTTACCAACAGATTTACATACTATATCCAGTCATATAACCACCCATTGTCATAAACAGATGCACACACCGGTAGTTTAGAGAACATGCCAAATAAGCCCTTAATAATATAATATTATGTGAATGCAAAAACAACCTTAGAATCTGACTCGCCAATCCTCGTTCAGTCTTTCTTTTGCTCGAATTGAATTTTAATTTGAGTGTGATTAGAGAAACAAGCTTTAAACACACTTTCTTTAATGATATTGAAGAAATAACACAGGCAATTAAAATTTAATTTTCTTTTTACAATCAGCACAATTAATCGTTGATTCCTTTCCTCATTTAAACTGTTTTATATCTTTAAAATGTGGTTGCCTGTCACATTGTGCAATAGAAAATAGGAGAAAATTAAGAGCGACTCCCAGCAGTAGGGTTCAGATCATTGTGGTTTGAATTCTGTATTCAAAAGTATTCTTATATGTTTATAAACACACATCAATACAAGCATAAACCTTTGACATTTTGTTGAGCACTTACCCGTGATCCAATTGTGTGCATTATGTAGATGTGGACAGTTATAAATAACTAAGTATTTAATACAGGGAAACACTTCATTTACTGCCTTCATCCCAATATCTGTAATGATACCAGGGTTTTCCACCACGTCTGCTAAACCATGCTTCACTAAGTCAGCGTTGGTCATTTTACCTGGAGGGAGGGAAAGAGAGGACGTCAAACGTGCAAGGACGTAGTTCAAATATAGATAATAATCTTGAAATTTAAGATGTATAGTTTCAATATAGAGATAAATTGGTCATTCACTTCATGGCTGTTTGTGTGGGATATTTTGTGCATAAATTGGCTGCCGTGTTTGCCTACAAATACAGTCACTACACTTTACAGTAAATCCCGACATGCTTGGAGATGTTTTGTCGATGTGATAAGGATGTATCAAAATGCAGGGGTTATTATTACTCTATGAGTGGGGCTGATCGAAGAGAGAAAATTACATACGCCCGAGGAACTACACCAATACACATATCATTCAAAATGAAGAAAGTTGTGCCTTACATTGTAACAGGAATTCATCCACATATCCCAGCTGGAGAGTCTCAAACTGCGGAAACTCCAGCTCTGCCATTTTTAGTGCGGAAAACACACCATCTTTGGTTAGAGAGGGCTGAATACGAACTTCGTGTAACCTAAAGACCACAAGATACAGAGCGATTCATTCCTATAATAATTTGCAAAGGTGTACAAATCATTGAACTTTTAAAAGCAATACATATATATTTAAAAATGACCTTAACTAGGGTTTCGCTGGTGCTAGTCAGTATTGGTTATGCTGAAAGACAAGGACTGATGAGCACTAAATCCCTTTCAGTGACTTAACTAATTGTTGCCCTGGTGAAAGCCGCACTTCCCTTGACATCAAACTTGTGAAATAGAAATTCTGAAGACAATGGTAAAGAAGGCAGCTTCACTGTTTGCAGATGTTAAATCGAGATTAGATGATCAGAACTCTGCCTCATCTAGGTATTTTGCCCACGAAATATACAACAACAAAATTACATTTGTATAGCGCCTTTCACATCGGGAGGACGTCCCAAGGCTCTGGACAATCAGTGTTACAGCCCCGAGCCGGGGGTCGGGATCGGGGAGGGTGGAGGATGGGGCGCGTGGGGAGGGGAGGGTGACCAAGGACATGGTCGAAGAGGAGGGTCTTGAGCTGGGTCTTGAGGGAGGCAAGCGAGGGGGCGAGATGGAGAGACTATAGGATGGAGTTCCAGAGGGTGGGGGCAGAGTGGCTGAAGGCCTGCCCACTAATGATGGGGCGGGTGAGGCGGGGGAACCTGAAGCAAACCGAAGCCCACTGAGCGGGCAGGTTGGTAGGGTGTTAGGAGGTCGCAGAGGTAGGGAGGAGCAAGGCCATGTAGGGCTTTGAAGGTGAGGACCAGGAACTTGTTATATCCTCTGTGATCCGACGCCAGTGGAGTCGGGCGAGGATGGGGGTGATAGGATCACGGATCCTGTTGCGGGAGAGGCCATGGGCTGCAGAGTTCTGAATGATCTGCAGCCTATGGAGGGAGGAGTTGGGGAGGCCAACAAGCAGGGAGTTTGCATAGTCAAGCATAGATGTAATGATTGCGGATATGAGGGTTTCGGTGGCTCAGTAAGGTGGAGTGCGCGTCCTTGGATGGTGATGCTATCTGCGCCTGAGGTGTGGAGCCGCTGAGGGGAGCCAATCAGGAGGGCCTCGGTCTTGTTGACGTTCAACTGAAGAAAGTTAGCTCTCATCCAGGACTTGATGTCTGACAGACATTCTGGCCGGGCAGCAGTGGTCCTGGAGTCAAAGGTGGAGGCAGAGAGACTGAGTTGGGTGTCATCCGCATACATGTGATCCCATGTCTGAGGATGTCACCAAGAGGAAGCAAGGACAGAGCCCTGAGGAATGCCGCACGAGACGGTACGGGGGCTAGAGGAGAAACCATTTGTGGAGATGAAGTGGAGACGGTGGGAAAGGTAGGATCTGAACCATTCAAGGTCAGAATCGTGAAGGTTGAGGTGAGAGGAGAGGCGGTGTAGGAGAATAGAGCGGTCAATGGAATCAAAGGCAGCAGAGAGGTCAAGGGGGACGAGGAGGCAGAGGGAGCCCTGGTCGCAGATGGACAAAATGTCATTTGTCACTTTGACCAAAGCTGCTTCCATGCTGTGGGCGGCACGGAATCTCGATTGGAGGGGTTCGTGAAGGGAGTGGCGGAAGAAGAAGGTACGAAGCTCTAGTCAATTCACTTTACAGTATATTCTGTGAAGAGCTTTAAGATGCCTTGACGACATGATAGGCGCTATATCAAACGCAAGGATTATTATTATTATTATTTAGGTATAGAACAATGTGAACAGGCACTGTAACTCCACATTATCTTACTTGGTACCAGGAGTTGTAGTCTAACTGCACGTTGAATTGACAGCAGCAGTGCATGTGGTCTCTTCGGCCACTGTATTATACAGTTATTCTCTTGCTCAGTCAGGGCTAGTCTTTGTATTGTGCCTCAGTGTGGCTGTTTGACACACTCTCCTCAACACTCAGGTAGCTGCCTAAATGCCTGTAATCTGCTGCTGTACGGTAATCCTCTCTTCTATGAAATTACATACACAAAATGTCGTTGTAGGATAAACAAAAAAATACCAAAACTGACATCAGTGATAGCACCACAAAATCACACAACTTCCACAGAAATCTGCACTTTTCTCCCCACAACAAAACCTGTCTAAACTTCGACAGGAACCGTTCACCTAGGTCATGAAACCATCTACAAATTTACGGCTTGTTGTGATTTGCTACCTGTTTAACATTAAACTATTAGACATACATTTGCTTTGTGACTGGAAAATCTCATGGGCAACAAACATGAATAAAGAAAGACATTCTCCTATTGATACAAGAAGTCACAAAAGAATATTATATACAAAGGGAACAACACAAAGCAATTTTCAAAATGCTTTACCTGCTCTTAAGAATGCCTACAACTCTGTTTATTCTCAGCTCCCATAGATCATAAACGGAGACTAATACCTCACACCCTCAGGATTTGTGCTGTATAAACTCACCTACGTGCAGCAGTAATAATGAGGTAGCCAAGATCCACTTCAAGTGCATTTTTACATGCCCCAAACACTATTGTATGTAGATTCCTGAAACCACCTGCATCAAAAAGAGGTAACCAAGAGTTTTTAAAAGGGCCGGTTTCTGTTGTGGTATCATGGACAGTTGCGTTATTAGCCCAGGATTTACTCGAAAGAAGATGACAATGGAAGGCATACCTGATCTCGAGCTGTCCTCCACAACATGCTGAATTAGTCCGCCAAGGAATGGTACTCGCACAAGTTCCAAGTGCTCTAGGCTTCTGGCTGAAGCTAACCCGGTCACCAGTGGAACATACTTTAGGGAATTGGTGGGGCCTGAAAAACGAAGCAAACCAACATTTTCTCAAAATGTAATCCCCACTCCACACATAATAAATAATTTCTCTAAATCAAGTAGAGCGAGTTAACTCCGAATCATGATCCTGCTGTGTGCAGTTGGCTGCCGCCTTTCACCCACAAAATATACAGTTAATTCACTTTTAGTATATTCCGTGAAGCGCTTTGGAGATGTCTCGAAGACGTGATAAGGCGCTATATCAAATGCAAGGAATATTATTATTATTATTTATTGCCAAATCCTCACCGTGCTTTTGCATTTTAAAATAACCTTACAGTAAAACTTAAGAACTTATATAAAAAAATGTTTTGATCAAGTTACTTTCTGTACCTGCACAGTTCCGCATTACAAAGGTGCGTAAATTGACGCAGAGAAAATCTTTAAAAGGCTGAGGTTTGGTTAGTCGGACCCACTGTAAATACAGATGCCTTAACATCGGAACACAGGGAATTTCTGGAACATTAACTCCTGAAGCAAAGAAACAAAACAAATTAACTTACGTGCAAACACATTGTGACCAAATAGTCTTCGAAGTGCAACTCTTACCCACGCCTAAATATCTCCACAACATCCCTGCTTACCAACTAAGTGAAGAGTCTGTACTTTGACTCCGACTGGAATAGTTAACTTGTTTTCCGGAGGGATGGGGAAAGCGCCGTTGCGATTTCGAAACTTGCCCAGGATGTGGACCTGAGGCATGTAGTTCCAGATGGCTTCCACCAGCTCCAAATGAGAAGTCTCGACACCCTAAATAAACAAAGTGAAGAGCATTTCAGTACAGCGGTGATATTCTGTCTTGTCACACCACACAAATGCTACAGTGGAATTAGCCAAACTGTTCAGCTCACTAAAAGTTTGCACGTTACTTGCCAGTAGATTTGGACAGGCCTGCAAAGCTTCCAGCACTCCAGGAATACTGAAAGCGTCGTGTCCTCTCACTCGCCGTCGCTCCAAATGCCGAGGATGTAAACCATATAACTGCTCCAAATCCGGCATTTTCTTTAATAATGTGAGAAAGCTTCCATCTGTGAAACCTAATATTAAACCCAAAGAGCAATAACTCACTCAGCCAGCCATTAAAGGGTTTATTTACTTAAATTAAATAAACACGAGAGACGATCTGCCATCCAATGACTTGATTGCTCGATTATTTTTCCAACAAAACCACTACTTGTTTTCTCCTTTAAAATGGTTACTGGATGTTACTCAATGACATTCGCAGGCATAGAAATAAACAACAATAACAAATGACATTTGTACAGTGCCTTTCACGTCAGGAGGATGTCCCAAGGTGCTGGACAGTCAGGGGTTTTGACCCAAGCTGGGGGTTGGGATCAGGAGAGGTGGAGGGCAAGGGAGGGTAGGGGTAATCACGTTAGGAACAGAGACGTAGGAAAGCGCAGCATGCTATTCTGTCGTTGGACTGTGCACCGTCATGGACGCAGAATAAGGCAGGCTTCTAATCTTGGGAAATCCACCACACTTCCCAATTTGTAGTAAGAAACGAACAAAATAGCCTGAGTCACCAGAGTCTGGCAGTAGCTAGATCCTGTTAACTGATGACTGAGCACTAATGGGAGCAGCTAGAGAGAGCAGCCTGTGACTGATCTCAGGAGAAGAGAACAAAATGATCCTGAGCTTATTGCCAGGTCCATTAAACAAACTCTGACCATTTCAACACCATGCTTTAACGTTCCAAGTTCCTCTTCTGGGAAAACACGTCAGAACAACAATAATAATAATCTTTGCATTTGATCTAGCATCTTATCATGTCTTTGGGAAGTCTCAAAACACTTCACAGAATATACTGTAAAGTGAATCGACTGTATATGTTTGGTGTGGAAAAAAGACAGGACAGGAACCAAAGATCATTTTTGAAAATAAAATTTAAGAAAATGGGTTCAGCTCCGAGGTCTGATAGACTCAGCTGACTGGACAAGTCACCCTAACCCTAGGGAAGAGCAAAAAACAAACAATATTTGTAAAATAAGCAAAACATCACCATGCTTAAGAGGATCCAATCTCCAATTTCCAATCTTTTAAGCATGGTGATGGGTTTCCGCATGTGGCAGACACCCGGCTGACCAAAAAAAACAAATCAGGGGAAAACATCCCTGATGTTTAGTGCATCTCTGACCCCTCTCCTGCTCAGGTTACTGGAGAACACTGGGCATTAGTTTCAGGGCCTCTGTGTGCCCTGGTCCCATTATGTTCAATGGCGACAGACGCTTTACACTCGCAAAGCAACCAATCTGGAAGTGTTTAGGAACTGAAACAAGCACAGAAGCAGCAAGCACACAATACTACACCAATACTACCACCCCTCCCCCATGCTCGGGCCCCGACACCTGACTGTTCAGCTCTTTGAGACATCCTCCTGACGTGCTCTATAAATTTAATTGTGCTGTTGCTGCGATCAGATCACTCAGAAACTCACAATATTCCAACAGTCACCAGGAAGGAAGGCAAGCACTGTGCTAAAATAGAAGATTCGCCCACAAATATACAGTCAATTCACTTTACAGTATATTCTGAGAAGTGCTTTGAGACGTCTAGAAGACGTGAAAAGTGCTATATCAAATGCAAGGATTATTATTATTATATTCCTTGATTAATCTAAAATATATTTATTTGCACGCGTGTATTTCTAAAAGCTAGCTAGAAAAAGAAGCATCCCCCCCCCCCACCCCGGGGCTGTCCTCCCTCTGTAGAAATTAGCACCGAAATAGATGATTGACTGTGAATTTCACTTACCTGATGGCATGTATTCCCACCAGCAGCCAGCACACATGTCCACAACCTTAACCACTCGCATGTACACAGTAACCGCCTCCTTCAGCTTCCGGGACAAGCACTCCATACACATGATGTCTTGTAGGGGCAAGTATCTAATGCACAAGAGACAAGAGATTCAAGCTAAAACTTACCTTTTTAATGCCAGTCACTGCCTCGATATTTTGATCAAAATAGTCAAAGAATTAATTGATAAATGAATAGCATTCCTTGTGTCCAGATAAAAACGAGCTGAAAGTTTTATGAAAATTCTATGAAACTTCTCACGCACCGTGCACAACAACAACAAATTACATTTGTAGAGTGCCTTTCACGTCAGGAGGATGTTCCAAAGCGCCAGAGTCCGCTGAGCGGAGGGTGTCGACAGGTTGGTAGGGGGTTAGGAGCTCACGGAGGTAGTGAGGAGCAAGGCCATGGAGGGCTTTGAAGGTGAGGACCAAGATCTTGAACTATACCCTCTGGGGGATGGAAAGCCAGTGGAGCCAGGCGAAGATGGGGTTGATCGGATTGTGGTGTCTGGTGAGGGACAAGACAGAGTCTGCAGAGTTCTGGATGATCTGCAGCTTTGTGGAGGGAGGAGTTGGGGAGGCCGACAAGCAGGGAGTTTGCATAGACGAGCCTGGATGCCTCCCCCTCTTCAACAACAATAACTTGCATTTATATATGGGATCCTTCACGCGTGGTGGTGTCTCGGAGCGCTTAAGGTTGTATAAAACAGAAAGCGTTCCACATACATTGCGGAACAATAAAGAGCCAGGATAGGAATATACCTGAATATATGACACAACACTTCGTGGGAAAGCTGGTTCATGTAGTCGCTCGGCTCATCTGGTTCAGCAGCTCCTGCTCCTTTGCTCACATTGGGACACGCTTTGGCGTATTTTCGCCGGGGTCCCATCTTCAGGGAGTGCCTCCTGAGTGCACTCTGGTTTTAACGTCACCACTGACAGTCAGGGAAACAAAAGCATCACTGGAAACAAGGGAAAACCATGCGTTCATTTGGGGCTTTTTCAGCTTTACCTGCTCGTACATGATGTGACGCAGGGCCATCGTAACTCAACACCAACTAATTAAATTTATACAGCGCCTTTCACGTCGGGAGGACGTTCCAAGGCGTTGTACAGTGAAGGGTTAACAACCAAACTGCGGGCTGGAGTCAGGAGCATTGGAGGACAAGGGAAACTCCTACTTGTGTGGTTCTGCAGTTTCCTACCAAGGGGAGACCGATTGATCGCTCTCATTTGAGTTTGTCGACCAACGTCCTATTGTTTCTAGCCTGTAAGGCTTTGGATCTATCTTGTCACAAACAATGGGTCGAAGGTGACCAACTAAGCAAAACATGCCAACACCAAAGCGCCAAAGTGATCTGTATAAATCACAATCAACAACAAAGCCCTTGGAACCAGCAAGGAGTAATAGTGGGAAACACAGCTGTCAGCCTGCGGATCAGCATGAAGAAATGTCATGAGATGAACGGGAAACCCAGTTAGTAAAAATAATCCTTATGCTTGATATGTCAGGAGGACGTCTCTAAGCTTTTTATGGGATCTACAATAAAGTGTACTGAGTAATTTTTAGGTGGAAGTAATGTCAGAAGGCAGGCACAATGGGACAAGGAATGACTGCACAGATAGGACACATCTGGAGTATCCAGTTGCACCATACCAAAACCTACAGAAAAAGTCCCTCAATCTGGAGGAGAAATCACCAAATTTACTGACGTTCCCTCATTCACTCAGACTGCAGGGAACTCCCCCAATGACACTGAGAATGAGAGAATCCAGGAGATGTCAACCTTCATCAACTCCCTTTTTAACAACCCAGACCATCTGTGAAGAGATCCAGAAATCAGTGTTGGACATTGAGAAGCCAATCTCAGATCTGATGTAAGACATTCAATCCACATTGTCATAGCTCCTAACATCATCTGATTGCAAATCAAAATGCCGACGTTTCTTGGAATTTCACACACAGTATTATCTACCTGGCTTCAGAGATGAGATACGTGCACAGTGAATATTTAGTACTTCAGACAAAGAGACAATTTGGCCACTTGTTTTCTTTTTGATCATCACGAGAAGTGAACCGCATTCAGTGTTTTAAAACCCAACCACATTTTTAAGAGCAAAAATCCAGGAAAGCAGTTTGCTTGCTATTGAATATGTAGAACAAGTACGAATGCACAGACTAATCAACATCACAATTTGCACCACAACAATGGAATGAAACTACCGCGCCAACAATATTGACATGGAAAAGAAGAAACATTCAACAAACATACAGAAAATAGAGAAGCAAAAAGAACCCGACAATCTTTACCACCAGGTGAATGGGCCCATTTGGTTGATTTAGACTAGCAAGCTTTAAACACATGAGTTCATGTTAATATCACTTAAGTGTTTCTTTTACTGAATTGTCCCATAGTACCAAAACAGGAGTCAAGTCATCTTTACATTGCACTTCTGTTGTCCGCAGACCTGCTTGGAATTTGTGTTCTCTCCTATGCAAGTGTGGATTTGTGATCCAGTTAAACTATGAAAGCAAGTTCTGGCCAACAAACCACCGCTCACAACAGTAAGAATGTGAAACACAATCTCTTTCTATTTGGGGTTAAATCATTTGTTCCTACTTTAGCTGCTATCATTTCAGCACATTATCAGAAAGGATTATTTTAAAGATAGTTAATAGCAATCAGAAAGGTGTTGTGTCTGAAACATCACTTTGAGAACACAGGATTACTCTTGTGACAGAGACGAATGGCGGCGGGGGTGGGGGGGGGGGGGAGAAGGATGGCGGGGGGAAAGGGGGGGTGGAGACCGAGGGCGGCGGGGCGGGTGGGGAGACAGAGGGCGGGGGAGTGGGGAGCCGGAGGGCGGGGGAGTGCGGTGACGGAGGGCGGGGGGATGGGGAGACGGAGGGGTGGGCAGACAGAGGGCGGGGGGTTGGAGAGACAGAGGGCGGGGGGTTGGAGAGACAGCGGGCGGGGGAGGGGGGAGACAGCGGGCGGGGGAGGGGGGAGACAGCGGGCGGGGGAGGGGGGAGTCAGCGGGCGGAGGAGGGGGAGACAGCGGGCGGGGGAGGGGGAGACAGCGGGCGGGGAGGGGGAGACAGCGGGCGGGGGAGGGGGGAGACAGCGGGCGGGGGAGGGGGAGACAGCGGGCGGGGGAGGGGGAGACAGCGGGCGGGGGAGGGGGAGACAGCGGGCGGGGGAGGGGGAGACAGCGGGCGGGGGAGGGGGAGACAGCGGGTGGAGGGGGAGACAGCGGGGGGAGGGGGGAGACAGCAGGGGGGAGGGGGAGACAGCGGGCGGGGGAGGGGGAGACAGCGGCGGGGGGGGAGACAGCGGGCGGGGGAGGGGGAGACAGCGGGCGGGGGAGGGGGGAGACAGCGGGGGGGGGGGGAGACAGCGGGGGGGGAGGGGGGAGACAGCGGGTGGAGGGGGAGACAGCGGGGGGAGGGGGGACAGCGGTGGGGGGAGACAGCGGGCGGGGAGGGGGGAGACAGCGGGTGGGGGGGGAGACAGCGGGCGGGGGGGGGGAGACAGCGGGTGGGGGGCGGAACAGTGGGCGGGGGAGGGGACAGAAGGCAGGGGGGACAGGGCGGGGGAGGGGGGGAGTGGGGGGAGAGAGAGGGCGGAGTGGGGTGGAGACAGATGGTGGGGGTGGGGAGACAGAGGGCTGGAGGGTGTGGACAGTCTGGGGGGGGGGGGGGGGGGGAGAGGGGGGGAGGGGGTGGGGAGGGAGAGGGGGGAGGGAGAAGAGCCGGGGTGGGTGGTTGGTAGAGACAGAGGGCGGAGGGGGGGAGTGGGGAGACGGGGGGGGGGGGGAGACAGAGGGCGGGGCGGGGAGACAGAGGAGGAGGGGAGAGGAAGACGGGGGAGGAGGAGCGGGGGGGGAGGGGAGGGGGGGGAGATCGAGGGGTTGAGAGGCCGCGGAGGGGGGGAGACGGAGGTGGTGGGGAGTGACACGGAGAGTGGGGGCAGACGGGGGGGAGGGACAGGATCAGCTCTGGGGCCGGGCCCAGGCCTCGGCCCTGGTGTCGCTGCTCCGTTGCTGCCGTTAGCAAAGGCCCCGAGTGAGCAGAGCCGCGGGACCCCCCCGCCAGCCCGGCTTCTCCTCCCTCCCTCCCTCCCTCCCTCCCGCCGCCGGCCCGGGCCCCGGGGGACAGGCTTACCTGGCGGCCGGGAGCCGGGGGGGGGGGGGGGGGAAAGCGGCGGCGACCAAGCGGCTTAGAAACAGCCCGCCCTCACCCTGCCCAGACTGCCCCGCGCCGCCCTCACCCTGCCCACAGTGCCCCGCGCCGCCCTGGCCCTCACCCTGCCCACACTGCCCCGCGCCGGCCTCACCTTGCCCACACTGCCCTTATCCAGCCCACAATGCCCCGCGCGCCCATTGACAAAATCCCCAAGTCAAGCGAACTCTTGTCGCTGTGTTGGCTTCATGTGTTGCAGTGATGCGGTGTGACTGCCACTGGGGGGCGCTCTCACTGAGAGCCCAAACGGGGCACTTTGTCTTCACCATTTTAATCATGAAACTGGGTCCTTGTCCCAATGGATTAAATTCTAGTCCAGGTCCAACTCTGTTTTTATTTTCTCTCTGGCCTCTGTTCATCTCGCCGTAAATAGGTTGTTAAGCGATTTGGCGGATCGCCTTTTTCCCGGGGTCGTAATTCCTTCAAAAAATAATAATAATAATATTAATAACAACACAAAAAAAAAGGGTCACTTCAATCCCCGACTGTTTGTGGGGACTCTGCTGTGCGTCATTGGCTGCCGTGTTTCACCCAGAAAATGTACAGTCAATTTCACGGTATATATCCTGTGAAGCGCTTTGAGATGTCTCGGAAGACTTGATAAGGCGCTACGTCACATGGAAGGATTATTATTATTATTTTTGATAATTGACTGCAGAGCTGATCGAAGCTCTGGGCGTTGTTCTGTTTGTTCTAATAATCCTACATCAACAATTGGGTTGTACGGTCAATGAGGTTGAAAAAAAACTGACAAAATATAATAATCTCGTGGAATAGGCGCCAAGGTTGAATTTTCCTGTTTACCCACCAGAATGCCTCAAAGCTCTTCACAAAGTTTTATGTAGTGACTGTGTATTTACAGCCAAACACAGCAGCAGGCAGTGAATTGTTGGCCAGGATGTTAGTTATGTTATGAATGCTGCGGTCTTTTTAGCCATCACTAATTTAAATTTATAGATTTTTGTATCCATTAATAATAATAATCCTTGCATTTGATATAGCGCTTTTCACGTCGGGAGGACGTCCCAAAGCGCTTCACAGAATAGACTGTAAAGTGAATTGACTGTATATTTGTGGGCGAACGCGGCAGCAATGTCCCACAAACAGTCGTGGATTGAAGTGACCAATTTATTATTGTTTTTGGTTTTGGAGGGATTATTATTAGGCTCTGTGTGGAGTAAGGAAACTTGCCCAAGGTTTCGCCCTCTGCCTGGAATTGAACTCAGGTCTCTCACTTGCAAAGAGAGTGCTCTAACCACTGAGCTGAGTTCTGTTGATATCACTGGGCGGTTTGAATAGCAGATGGAGTCTCATAAAAACAATTGGCGATCCTGTCAGATGTCCTATTATAAATTGTGGGAAAAACATTCTAATATTAGTAAATGACCCGTTTTATTATTACAGGTTTAAGACATCATCTTCACCTGCAAATATTACTCAATAGACAAAACACTAACGCCCAAGGACAGCAGTGAGACAAACGCCAGCTGCTCGACTCCAAACTGAGTCATTTGATTCCAACTATTTCCCCAGACTTAGTCCCAGCAAGATTCCTATCAGAGACTTGGGATTTGATAACATTTGCTGCAGACAGTTTGGGTAAGAGCTGAAAGTGTGTGATGTGTGCAAGAGAGAGAGAGAGAGAGAGAAAAGGGTACCTGAGAAAGATTGGGAAGTCACACTGTAAGACGGTTCTTGCAATAAAGCAGTCACTACACTTTACAATACGTTCTATGAATACATGTATTTATTCTCTAAATATAAGATGTAGAGTAATAATATATTACTTTACAATACATTCTGTGAAGCGCTTTGAGACTCAACGATGGGATCGGGGCTGTATCAAATGCAAGGATTGTTATTATGTACAGTATATCCAGCGAAGCACTTTGGCATGTCATCCTGACATTATTAATTATTATTATTATGTTTATACAGAATGACAGGTTAATTCTTCTCCAGGTGAAATCGTTATCATTTCCAGTCAGAAGATAAAAATAAACATGAAATATTTCGCAAACCTCAGTGACAACTGCAACACGTTAAAGGTGATTATGGTTTTATGGTTCCAGAGATTTTCATCATAAACACTCGATTGTGCTTTGTACAGAAAGATGCTATAATAAATGCAAGTTATTGTTAAACAATTTGCTAAGCTGTAAACGTTCAATGCAGGAAACCGTTTAGGAAATTGTGGTTGAAACTGGGGCAGTAATTAGTATGACATCATAAAGAAAAGGCATTTGCATTAAATACAGTGAAATATCAGTTTATATTAAAAGCGCTGGTGAGATTTTCCCTTTATAAGTGTAGGTAATGTATAACGCATAAATGCGAGTTGTTGTTTAAGCAGAGATGATTTGTTACTGAATAGAAGCGATAGATAGGAAAGTTCTGAAGGAATCTTTCTTCGTATAAAACCCGAGCCTGAAGGAGGGAGGGAGAGAGGCAGAGAGGAGTTTGTGTGCTCGAGAGAGGATAAGGGTGAGAGGTTGGACCTCAAACACTTTCTCTCACAATGTGCTCCCTGCTGACACTGCTTTGGGTCGTCTTCCTGGCGTGAAAGCTGTTGTTGTCATTGCTGATGAGTACCGTGATTGAGGGAATTTCTGAAATGTGGAGCCCTGTAGCTCAATGGTTAGAGCGCTCGCCTCGCAAGCGAGAGGACCTGGGTTTGATTCCCAGGCGGGGAGAAACACTGGGCAAGTTTCCTTACTCCACATGCCTCTGTTTACCTCACAGTGTAAGTAGGAACCCGGTTGTTAGTTGATTGGCAGATCGCTTTCCCAGGCTTTTCCCATACCTTCAAAAAAATAATTTGTTCACTCAATCCACGACTGTTTGTGGGACACTCCTGGGCACAATTGGCTGCCGAGTTTCGCCCACAAAAATAAACAGTCAATTCACTTTACAGGTTTGATCTCATCCTTCCGCCCAGCCTTCCTTCCCATTATAGCACTGAGCTGATTATTAAATGAGTCCAGGGTCCTGGGTTTTACCACCTTTCCTGGTAGCCAGATCCAGGTGTAGGGCACAGAGATCAGAGGGCCTTACACTATTGTATCACTGTCTTGTATCTGGCATTTAATTGCAACGCAAGGTGCTGATATTGTAATGTTTACCAACGTTAACAGCACTGTGACCACAGGGTGACTTGGCAGGAGGAACCCCAACATGGGAAACTCCCCATGTTTACCCCCTTTCTGAGAGTCCTTAGCTGCCTTTTGAGTTAAAATCTTTGGTGAGAATGGAGAAAAAGAAACACTGCAGTTTGTGTAGTCCTGCAGTTTAGTGGTTAGAGCACTCGCCTCGCAAGGGACAGGACCAGGGTTCAATTCCCAGGCAGGGCAAAACATTGGGCAAGTTCTCTTACTCCACACACCTCTGTTTATCCAGCAGTAAGTGGGAACCCAGTTGTTAGTCGATTGGCAGATCGCTTTTCCGGGGATAATAATCCCTTCCAAAAAAATAAGAAGAATAATTTAGTCACTGTGTGGGACACTGCCGTGCGCAATTGGCTGAATTCACTTTACAGTACTTTCTGTGAAGCGCCTTGAGACATCTTGAAGACGTGATAAGACGCTGTATCGACTGCAAGTCTTGTTAAATGTCATTAAAGAGGAACTCTTGAGCACTGATCAGCTGCAAAAGCTCCATCAAACAGTGAGTATTCATCTGCAGGTAAGACATGGTGTTAGTGGCTTAACACGAGAGAAGATTTCAGGTGCAGTGTGTCGAGAGGACAGAGGAACAACCTGCAGTTATGTCAGTCACTCCTTGTTTGTCGTAAAGGCCCATTGGGGCTGTAATGCGCTGGAAACGCACAATGCTTTGAGAGGCTGAGGCATTGATAAGATGCTGTATCAATTGCAAGAATTTTTTATTATTAATAATACTTGGTCATGATGGAAGCAGCAAGCATTCCCAAACTGTTGTTCCATTTCTACAATGGTTTGATAGCCCGTTTTAAGATTATTTAAGTTTCCGGGGGTAATATTACCCTCGAAAAACAATTTAAAACAAAATTTGGGCATTCAATCCACGACGGTTTGTGGGATGCTGCTGTGCAAAATTGGCTGCCGTGTTTCGCCCACGAAATTCACAAATTCAATTAACTTTACAATATTTTATGCGAAGCGCTTTGAGACGTCTCAACGACGTGGTAAGGCAACTGTTTGGTGCTAAATAAATGCAAGTTGTTGTTATACCGATCCTTGCATTTGATGTAGCATCTCACCACATCTTTGAGATGTCTCAAAGTGCTTCGCAGTGTGGAAATGTAATTTGAACCGTCACACAACTGGTAAAAATTGATAAGCCTACTGACTCTTGGCAGCAAATTAAAAGATCTCCTTCAAGATCTTTCCTGCCTCACTAAAACTAATTGGTAAGGAGTTTGACAAATTTAATTGACAGACAATATAAAGCCATGCAAGAGTAAAAAACTACCAATTAGGAAAATTGAAAAAAAGTATTCACGTGAACAAACTATTTTGGTTGGATAAGATTTGTGTATCATGTATTCTAAATATATACATATATACTCTGTATCACATAAAATTGGAAGTTGTCCTGCTCGGGTATTGTAACCTGAAAGGACCTCTTCCCTCACTGCAGTGTGTCAATAAAGCTTACAATGGTTGATAGTGGAAATCGTCTTTCAATTGTGTTTTATGTAGCGCATCGAGCCACGACAGTAGGATATGCTAAAGTGAATCGACTGTATATTTTGTGGGCGAAATACTATGTTGTTGTCTGTGCCCTGCACGCAGCAAGTGCTTTAAACAAAAATGGTGTCAATCATTTACCCAATAACCATCAGCCCTCAGCTGATGCAACCATACAGAGTGAGGAACGGGGGAAGCGTTTCTCTTAGAGAGAACAGAGCAGGTGTTGCAAGTGATGTTATGCAATACGTAATCTCTCCTCACGGGACTGTTGATGTCACAAACAGGGTGACCTGGGAATGTCTGGATGAATAAATACCGTCGCGATCAAATGGTTGAGACAAATTTCAGAAGCTTCACGATGAAGGTCACGGGAGCCTTCCTCCTCGCCGCTCTCATGGTTTTTATTTTTGCCGGTGAGTTGTGGTCCGAACGACACTTTTAAGCGCTCCGAGACACCGTCCGGCTTGAAGGGCGCTGTATAAATGCAAGTTGTTGTTGTTTTCATTGGACCTTTCCAAAACTGTAACAGCCGCTCCGAAATTATTTTACAATTATTATTTTGAAATGATTTTTGATAACACAATTATGATAATTATATTGTACATGATTTCAATCTGGGTGTAATGCTCTAAAGTTAACTTCTCAGCATTATTCCCCAGAGGGAAAGTATTTTCAATGCTTGTGAATTCAAATGTAAACCCGGTTTACGCACTTGCCTCGCGTAAAGTCACTGGTGTATCATTGATTCGGTTCTCAGATTATAGTGTCCTAAAGCGAATTGACTGTATGTTTGGTGGCTGAAACCCGACAGCAAAATTAACTCGGAACACTCTGAAATAGAGTGAATGTTTGACCCGGGTGGAATTCCACCCCTGATGTCTCAGTTTCTTTGCTGCCGGATTAGCTGTTGCTCACATTTCTCCCTCAAAAACCAAAGACGCATACACACTCTCTCTCCTCTCTCTCTCTCTCTCTCTCACACAATATTATTCTGTTATAGACATGTCCAAGAATGTCAGTGCCAGTGACGAAACTGAACAGGTGAGATTCTAATTACTGTTATGTTTACTGCTGGTTAATTGCGGCCACTTTGAAGGGATTACTTCTTGCTGCCATTGGTTTTGATTTGTTTTTGATCATCATTTTATTTCTCCTAGCCTGCCTGCGATAACTACCAGGTGCCACATTGTCCCAGAAACTATTCACCAGTCTGTGGGACAGACGGCTATACGTATTCGAATGAATGCTTAATGTGTCTTGAGATCAAGTGAGCCGATTTATTACTTCTTTTGGATTGGGATGTACAAATGATAATGATAATAATCCTTGATTTGATACAGTGCCTTATCACATCTTCAAGACGTCTCAAAGGGCTTCACAGAATATAGTGTAGAGTGAATTGACTATTTTTATGGGTGAAACACGGCAGCCAATTGTGAACAGCAGTGTTCCACAAACAGTCGTAGATTAAGTGACCAATTTATTAGAGAAATAATGTCCTGGCTAACAATCCTCCCAGTAGAATTTGGCATTCACTTCAAGGCCATTGCTGTATGTAAATTGGTTGGCCTCCCAATTTCTACTGAGACTTGTTTTTTCCCTCCTGAGTCAACATTCCTGCAGCACCTCCATTTACCATCCGTTGACACCAACCACATTCTCCTCCCACTCTGCCCCACCAGAGCTCAGCTACTGTAGCATAGACAACAACAGCAGCAAATTACATGTGTATAGCATCTTTCATGTCGGGAGGATGTCCCAAGGCTCTGGACAGTCAGGGATTTGGACCCGAGCCGGGGGTTGGGATCAGGAGAGGTGGAAGGGAGTGAGGGTAGGGGTAGGAGGGTGACCGAGGTTAAGGCTGGGAATTTTCCAATCTGTACAGTTCAGCTACTCACTGAGCAAACACACGCAGTCACTGGGGATAGTTTGCAAGTAGATTTCTTTGCCTGTGGGGGGAAAAAAAAACAGCTGGTATGGCCAAGGGTATTATGCTGAATCCTGATTTTATGATAATTTTTGTGAGAAAGGTTTTGACAAGTTACGGGTGATCATCCTGATACTCTCGCAGAGTTTGACCTCGTCGCTAGTGACAGCTCCATCACTTTCTCTTCCCAATTCAGTTGGACAAAGAGCCTTTAATTCTGCCGTATTGTGCTTTTGCTGGTATTGATGTAATCAAAGGTGAAACACTCCCAAATAGTGATCGGACGGTTACTGATAATGAACTGCATTCACTCTCCCCCACAGGCAAAGGGGTGTCAACATCCGCATTGTGAAACACAGCGAGTGCTGAGGAGACACCCTCCACCGTACGGGACAGAGAGCATTTTGCCAGCGTCATGAGTGTCTGAAACGCGAACGAAATAAAGCAAAGCTCTTAACACTGGATCTGTGTCGTCTTCTTGAGCTGTCAGATGTGATGGCTGACTGGCTGCCAAATAATGACCCTGGATTTATTAATAATAATAATAATAATCCTTTCAATCCCCAACTATTTGTGGGACGCTGCTGTGCGCAATTGGCTGCCGCGTTTCACCCACAAGATATGCAGTCAATTCACTTCACACTGTATCCTGTGAAGCGCTTTGAAACGTCTCGAAGATGTGATAAGGCGCTGTATCAAATGCAAGGATTATTATTATTATTATTAAATAGTGGAATAAAATGGCTTTGGGAGAAGACGAGGTGGAAGAAAAAAAAACTGTCTTGTGAGAGAGAATTTAATTGGTTAAAATCTGCAAACCCCCACCTCTCAGCAACGATAAACATTGCACTAGTCAGCCCATTGGATCAGTATTGAGGTTTCATCACAAACAATGGAATAAAATCCCCCAACTCCAAACTCAAAAATAGTATCAATTGGTTTTAGATCCTTATAGCACCCACCATTGCACTTTGAAACATCCTCCTGATGTGAAAGGCACTGTATACATATATAAATGTGGACGGTAATGTATATCAGTGGCCAGAAGTAGTTAAGGACGGCAAGTCCATAACAATATTTACAAGGATACTGGAGAAAGGCTTGAAAAGGAACAATACTAAAGAGCAATGGTAAAACCTGTCGTCAGAAGTGGTTCAACACTGTATCACATTCTACTGTGTTTGCAAGACTCAATATCACAATCGATCAGACATTTAAATATCACCCCAGACAAATTAAAGAGACTAAATAGGTTACACACTGTGATTATGTGCTCTGTCAATCATCCCTGCAAAGCTCATTACACACTTTCTAACTCTCATTAGTTCCACTCAGTTGGCTGTCTGTTGGGAGCGTAGAGTACTTCAGTAACTAGTTAAACAAGTGCTCTTTGATGTGCAACTAAAGACATGGTTACCATTGAAAATAGTTCTAAGATTTTTCCATTGGAAAAGGTAGCACCATTGCTCATCACCCCGACATTGCCAGCTTCCATCTTCTTGGTAAAACCACACTACCTGTACTTTAGGATATTTTTAAATCATAAACAATTGCCTAATTGAGTGACTTGTGGAGGAAAATGAGTCAAAGGTATCTCGCAGTGTGTCGTTCAGTTTAACACTTCACCTCGCTCATTAAATTGGAACGTACCTTCGGGAAAAAAGCACCATGTTTATTTCTGATTCCCTTGTGAATGGAAATCACAGCTCTATGTGTTTCCCTTTCTTCAGCTCTCCAGAATAAAGTCAACAACAACAACAACTTGCATTTATATAGCCCTCTTCACACGAGGCAGTGTCTCAGAGCGCTTAACTCATAGCTATTTGAGAAGATAGGAGGGTGCAGTACATTTTGACAGTCGTCTAAACTCACCACAAACACTGATCCAGAATAGCTGAATAAACCAACAATAAAAGATATGTATTACTCCAAACCTGTCAATGACAAATTGTTATCAAAAAGTGTTGAAAAGGGTTTAATCCTGCGCTCGTTCCTAATTGATTACAGTCTAGCGGAAGTGGGTGGTGGGGGGTGGGGGGGTGGGGGGGGCGGGAAGCACTTTAATCCTTCAAATGTTTGAAGATTATTTGATGGAAGTGGATGAAGGAAGTTGTAAATAGAATTGTGGTGAGAGCGCATGGGATGTGAAGTGTCTCAGTACGCTCTGGTCTGGTCTGCTCTGCAGTACCCATCCCAGACGACGTGTTGCGATCACGTTGTTCCGTGCAAAACCGGCTGCTACGCTCACCTACAAAGTATACAGTCACTACGCTTTACAGTGACTCACGTGAAGCACTTTGAGATGCCGATCTGCACAGACAGGAACTTGCACAGTGCCTTCCCCTCAGCTCTGCACATGCCCCCACCGACTGACAGTCACATTCTCTACCTCACCAGAAAAGAAATCCCCAATAGCCTCCACCGTCTCAGCGCCGTGACAGGCACATAAAGCATCACAAATCGCAGCCCCTCACACGGGCTACGGTGACAGGCTGGAGAGGGAACTTCAAGCCACAGGTTCCAGAGAAACAGCAGCAACAGCAACACCGTGTCTCCATCAACACCACTTACTGCTCTCAGCTGGAAATGACTTCAGTTGAAAGTGATTGGGAAGTGTTCCCACTTAGCCTGAGTCACATTGTCCTGGTGAGGACTTGCTGGTGATTGCGTGTGTGCGTCTGGGGTAGTGGCAGCTCCCAGTGAGCACCTCAACAACAACAAATTACATTTGTATAGCACTTTCACGTCAGGAGGAAGTCCCGGGCACTTTGGTGACGCAAACTGCACTGAGGAGCAACACTGCGCTGAGAGAGAATGAGAAGAAGTAGAGAGAGGAAGACAGGATGAAGATGGTACCCCCTCACTCGCTGCCCAGTTTCTCAATTATCTTGGTAGGAATGCGGTCTGCGTGGGGAGGAACACAAGGGCTGGCCTGGCAGTGCGTGATGTGGACACGCGCAACAATCCACGATTGGATTTTATCGCTCGGAGCCGCAAGGAATCCTAGAGACCTCGAAATAAAACCACGCGCTCACAAAAGGCAACAACAATTTGGATTTATACAGTGCCCTCCACGCCGGACGGTGTCTCAGAGGGCTCAAAATAATAAGAGCAATCCTTGCGCTCGCGCCTCAGCAAGTTGTTGAGACGTCTCAAAGCGCTTCACGGGATATACTGTAAAGTGAATTGACTGTATATTTTGTGGGCGAAATACGGCAGCAATTTGCGCACAGCAGCGTCCCATCAAACAGTCGTGGATTCTTTTTTTTGAAGGGATTATTACCCCCGGAAAAGCGATTCACCAGTCGACTAACAGTCCTACCTCCTGCTGGGTAAACAGAGGTATGTGGAACAAAGAAATTTGCTCAACCTTTCGCCCTGTCCGGGAATCGAACCCAGGTCCTCTCGCTTGCGAGGTGAGCGCTCTAACCACTGAGCTACAGGGCTCCGAGTAACTGTAAATCTCTGTCCTAAGTAATATAGGTGAATGCAGCTCACTAAACCATTCTCAGGCCACACGGGGAGCAGAGGAACTCATTCTTACTGTTGGGTTTTAGCATTGTACCACCTGGAGGTAGCATAGACGTGAAACACCAACAACAACTTAAACTTCTATAGCATCCTCCACGCAGTGTAGCATCTCAGAGCACTTAACAGTGGCGGAGCCTGAAAGTTACGTTAACATGTAGCATACCTCTTCAAGGAATGTGGATCAAAGCATCAGCGAGTAAACGGGACATTGCCAAGAATACAAAGTAGGCTGACGAACCTGGTTTAAAATGTAAACTCCAGAATATGTATTTAATAATAATAATAATAATAATAATCCTTGCATTTGATATAGCGCTTTTCACGTCGGGAGGACGTTCCAAAGCGCTTCACAGAACACACTGTAAAGTGAATTGACTGCATATTTGTGGGCGAACGCGGCAGCCAATTGCGCACAGTAATGTCCCACAAACAGTCGTAGATTGAAAATTTATTATTGTTTTTGGTTTTGGAGGGATTATTATTAGGCTCTGTGTGGAGTAAGGAAACTTGCCCAAGGTTTCACCCTCTGCCTGGAATTGAACTCAGGTCTCTCGCTTGCAAAGCGAGTGCTCTAACCACTGAGCTACAGGACTCCACAAGAAGCCAATTTAAATAGGAACCCATTCCATATCAATAATTGTGGTGAATTATCGCAATCAATGGATTTGAAGATTACCGTTATACATTTCATAAGAACATTGTGGGCTTTCCACTGCATATAATAATAATAATGTGTTGAGATTGATTGCCAACTTGCTATGTATTTAGAGACTTACCATTGTAACTGCTCATCCTTTCTGGCATGAAGGAGAGATGGAATTGAGCCACTTTTCTTTATTGGCAACTTTACGAACATAATTGCCAATTGCAATTGAAAATTGGCTGTAACGATTGTATTTCTCCCATTTGGTCAGCCTCAATTAACACACACAGAACCTGGAACTCTTGATGTCTGTTTGGGATCCCTCAACTCTGCCTTTTCACAGTTCCATCATTTAAATATCAAATGCTTTTTTAAAAAATAACACACACACACTAAACGTTGGGTAAACTTAACAAAATAGTTCACTTCATTTAACTTAAAGAGCTTTTGAGAACATGTTTTTTGATAAAAGGAATAACAGGTGGTAATTCAATCCCAGGTAGGAATAGGTAGAAAGTGTGAATGTAAGGATGACTGAATATGGTGCAGTTCTTTGTCTGAAATACCTTGGAAGCTCAGGGAATATCTACACTATACAGACGAGGGTAATAATTGCCTTAAAAATAATAATTTGGTTACTCAATCCATGACTGTTTGTGGGACAATCACATTTCGCCCACAAAATATACAGTCACTACACTTTACAGTATATCCTGTGAAGCGCTTTGAGACATCTGGAAGACGTGATAAGGCACTGTATCAAATGCAAGAATTATTATTATTTCATAGTGAGAATTTGCAACAGTTACGCAAAGTGGAGCTGATGCGAAAATAATCCTGTGCTAATGAGTCCGAACATCAGCGCTGACAGGATTATATTATGCCAAGTTGTTCATTCCGAAACATTCCTGTCTTTCATTGTCTTTTTGTTGCTATTTCAACATTATATTTAAATAATTGCCTTTTTTGGGGGATGTATTAAAATGCAAAGGAACATCTGTTGTGTCTCTGAATATCACATTCACACGGCAGCGTGTAATGTGAAAGCCAAATCTCATCAAAAGCAACTAATTCAAGGTTTACAGCGATGGTAGAAGTTAATTACACAGAACATTTTCTGAATGATCCGAGTATTTTAAAACAAGGTAACAGCCCATCAAAGCATAAAACATAACGTTTAAAGTTTTGTTTCACACAGACGTGGACAGAAAGTTCCATTAAAGT